TAAACAGCTCAGCGAAATGCGTTATGATTAAATATTCGTTACCCTAAAGAATTAAAAGTTATTGTCAATTATTATTAAATCATTTAATGAAAGCTTGTTGAACTAATGAAAGTTCGTATTATTTTAGATAGAAAGGTACCAGTTATTAATGATATCACTTAAGCTTAAGATTCTTCGAAGTTAGATCTATCCACAGCATAATGTTAATCTCTTTTAATCACTTAAGTAATTATTAAAGAACAAGTTCATAAAAGTTCGTGTACTTCACGTTTTAATCTTCGTAACAAGTTTCACCACTCGACCTTATACCTTCATAACACACTATAAATTGCGAGAAGTAATTCTGCAAATACAATTTTTGTCGTTGAAATCTTGAATTGTTTACGAAATATAAAATTCAGCGTGTGTTAAATAATAAATCAGTTATTTTTAATCTATTATACGAATTCTCTACGCACGTATACTTAATTCCAATAGTCGGCAGAGTTACTTACATCAATTTTGCGGGACGAACGATAGAGAATATTGAATTTCCTATTAACGTCAACGCTCGTGTGTCGCACACGGAAATTCATAGGCTGGACCGTGTACATATGTCACCGTAAATGCATATGTGTACCGTACGCCGGCTGACCATTTCCATCAACGATAAATCTTGGGACGTCTATTGATCGCAATTATTGCACGCAACATTGGACCGCCTTAATCATGCGGTTGTAAGGCATGAGCGACGGTATCAAGCTATATACATCGTATTTGTGTTAACTGTTCATCCCGCTGATTCACCGTGAAATTTAAAATTACGTAACTGTACGATTTATAATTTCTAACATTTCTTTCATGTATTCTACCTTTCAATGTATTAAATGATTAAACGCTTACTGATTATGTTAAATAATTTGTGGACTCTGTATTGCACGTATGAATTTTATAAGATTTATTGCATACAATTCACGATCCTCAATTTCCAAGGCGTATACACATTTTTTTTTTCATCCTATATGCAGTAACCGAAGATGTTTCATGTCGTAGGAAAATTTGATAAGGAAGCTAACCAGTTGCACCTACTGAATTTTTACGTATTTTCTTAATAACGATCGATCTAAAACAAAAGACCAGTTACATCCAGCGGGATCTGTAATATCACGTTGCCCATCGCGCGGTCTGCCTCGTAAATTCCAGCGCACGCTTATGCGCCGCCGCAACCAGCCACTCGTACAACCCCTAATTGCCATTAGCCGGTAGCCACTTCTCTGAAATTGGTTCCTACGTTCCGTTTCATGGCTTCTCTGCAACTCGCCCTTCCTCTCCGCGCCGCGATAGTAATCCTTCTCGTCGTCCAGCCCCCGCCTCTCACCCCTCGGCGAATACGTATTCGAACTTCTAAAGACGATTCACTTTTGAAAACGGTCAATCCGACCGGCACGCGGAACGAGATTCTGCAAACAGTCTCTTTCGAACGGGCATCGATTCGGTGGAATTCATTGATCAGAGAACGAAATCGATCTAAGAGTAGATCATATAAATTAATAATACATCTTATCGTATTTCGTATTAAATAAAAATGGAAGCAAGTATACGGAATTCGTTTAGTACGTTAAATTATACTAAATGAATCGTACATAATGTTATCGTGTGTTAACAGCTGGACAATTAGCGTTAATATAACAGCGCGCGAGCGCGCGCGACGTTATCATTTTCTATTCGAATAATTTCCGCGAGATTCGGCGCGAGATCCGTTGCACGCTCATCAGCTTGCATTTGGCGACCGAACATACATTTCCATGACGTTGCACGATCGCTTGAACTTTTGAAAACCTGGCTGCACCTACCCACTTGCTCGACCCGATTCGTAATCTCGATAAAGAACGAACCGCGTTGACCCGAATGAATATACCGGGACCTAAGTGTTCACGTTAAGACACGATAATAATATCGATTGCGGATGCAATGTTACGTAATTTTGCCGTTTAATCTTAAGGAAGCCAGGCATCATTGAAATTGAGGAAGTATTATTCATACGGTGTAACGAAATCTTTTGTAACTTTGAATTTTAGTTAGCTAAATAATCTAAATTCTAGCTTGAAAAATGATGAAGCTTGTAAATAAAATCAATAGAGAAGACGTAGCAATCCTTCAATTTAGAGTGATACTTCATTTAATTTAATGAAATTACTATTGGGGACAGATATACAAAATATATGAGTCACCTTAGATTAAATTATTCAGTCACCTGAAACATTCAGTCCCATTTGGAAATGTAAAATTAACGATTAAGAAAACAAGTTTGTACTTTTCGGTTGTAAAATATAGAACGTTTTAGAGTCGTCACGACAGTAGATCATGGAAAATTGAGCTCCATGCTTTTCAAGTCCTCCTACAAGAATCTATACATTATCCACTCGGTGAGAGTTTAAAAGTATAATACGAGATTAGCATGTGTGACAGTAAATCAATATTAGATTGTTGAAAGGGTCAATCAAAAATTTACCAAGTTGCCAGATGACTTTTGTTCTTCCTTTCACAGGTAATTTATAAATCTCATTTAAAACAGATATAAACAGATTAAATGTTAACGAGTAATTAGTTTTATAGGCGAGACACTCAATTATTAAAATTGTTAAGAGTCTAGACATAATTATATAGAAATAAAACCGGTTTTTTTCCTAATTTAGACGTTCTCAAACGACATTAAAATTCGAGTATGGCAAATTCGATAGCTTAAAACGCCTTTTGCGAGCAACGAAAAGATCTCTTTAGCGAGCAACCGGAATAATTCGCGCGGCGTCAAAACGTGAGATACCATGCTCCGCCGTCTGTTATTAATTATTATTCCGCGAACAGTTCGACGCGCATCACCGCACGCGGGTAAATATTGCTACACGTCCGTGCATCTGCAGAGTCACGGATAACCGCATACACAAGCGCATATTTCACGTATGTTCGCGCGCAATTGGTAAGCATTCAGATCAACTGGATGTGAATTAACGGCGGTTAGAGTAGCAATACCTATTAATAACAAGGCGGCCGTATATGTTAGGTCTTTAAACCTTAATTACCGTCATATCGTACAAATTGCCGGTGATTAGGTATTAAAATGACAATTATTTATTGAATTCTCATAGGGAAACTGCACGGCCGCCCCGGTTTCCTTCTCATTCAAGCTCGTCACGTCTAATTAAACTCCGACTAATTTATAATACAGTTCACTCGAATTTGGAATCTGACAATGAGTATGACGTACTAGTTAAATCTGTCTCAAGCTTTATTGAGCATTCGTTTCTAAAACTGAACCTCAGAAAATGTGAAACATAATTCCGAGTCAGATAATATTGTCAGTACTAAAATACACGTACTCCGATTGAAAATCTTTAATTGCATAGAGAATAATGCACTGATATATGCCGAACAATTAGGATAGAATTATAGGCGTTAGGTCAACCAGATCCGTAAACGAACGCGAGCGCTTATTATTATTTGCCGTATGCATATATATTGAATGAAACTTGCCGCAACGGCCACGAATTAATAACTATTAACGGATAAACGGGGGTGTATTTTCCCATCGCGGTGCACACAGACACACGCGCGCGCTGTCCAGTCGAAATCAACCAAAGGCAAACGGAGCTTAGCTCGTGAGCTTAAATTTATTCGCGACCATTCTTCGACGAGAAACTAATCAAACAGTTGGCCTCTGTCAGTTTCTCTGCTGAGTTCAAACAACATTTCTCAATTAGGAATTTAGCAGTTCGACCTCTCCGTCTCCTTCTCTCTAGTTCATTTATAAATGTGCTACTATAATCAGCGAGATTCGATTGCTACTATTATTATATTATCAGTAATGAGACAGTGGATGCACGAATGCCACATTTAGAACAAGTATTTTCGGTTCGCCTAAAATAAATAATCTGTCGAACGTCAGAGCTATTATTATGTCCGATATGATTAGGATTTTAATAATTACTAAACGGCCTAGAAAACGGTCTTATATATATCATAGAATAATTTTGCTCTTTATTTCCTGCCTATTAAACTGATTTCCTTGAAGCAGTAATTGAACGAATGAGTCCGCTGTGTTACATTTTTATGCTACCTATAACACAATTTGTGTTTAGATAGAAAATTCCGTGAGGCGTTCGCGCACGAAACGAAGAAAGATTCTCACGAGTCTGTCGGAATTAAAGGTACGATCTTACCGTAATCTCAAAGGGAATCGAGGGAAAATCGGGCGTGCTAGATCCGCCGATAAAACGCGTCAAAGTAATATTCTCGGTAAGTCGCGCGGAGCCAGCTGACCCGCTCGATCGGGCTTCTGGTCTGGTTATCGCGGTATCAACCATCGCGGTTAAACAATTCTCCACGACGATTTCTCGGAGCCCCGGGAGGGACCCGCGCAACCGAGCGCCTTTTCACGTGTGTACCTGGACAAGGTGTTCACGCGCCGAACCTATTAGTCGTCCGTTCGAGATTGGCCGCCGGAGATAACAGTAACGCCTCTCGCAAGACGGATCAGTGGATCGCGTGCTTTCTGGCCACGCGGCTTCGACTCCGTGTTTCACCTGGATACGCGAGGCTCCTGCCGTTCTCCAACGTTCGGTCGATACCGGTGACGAGGCGTCGCGGCGCGACGCGTCGCCTACATACGTCCCGCCCTCGTTCGTGTGTGCAAAGTCTCGATACACGTGCTCGTGAAATCGTGACGTTCCACGATGGATCACGTTATTTGTTTCTTAATAAAATAAACGTCAGAGAACATTGATAATAAGACGTTAAGCAATAATTAATTCCATGTTTCGTATATCAGCTCAGGAAGAAATTTAATTTTATCAATGATCACTATTCTAACTTTCGTACGTTACTGTAGGCGTACATGTAACTGCGGTACGCAGGTCGAAGAATGAACGCTTGTACTACTGCGGCACGCGTTTAGATGTTCACGAGCAACGTGCTGCTCGGGGGTAGCGAGATATCGTGTGTAGGTCGTAAGCGGTGACTAGGACTGGGGCGTTGCACGACCAAGAACGTAGAACTCCGCATTAGAGTTAGAGTTAGGGAATCGTAACCGTTACCGAGGGGTAAAACTATTCAAACCTGGTGATAACGTTAATGTAAACACACGTAAAACCATTAAGCTTCTTGGACTATTGTTCGAGTTTAGTTGAATATTGCTACTGGATTCTGTTAATTGACTTGCGACTCTGGATTCTGTTAATTGACTTGCGACTGTTGTTGCGACGTCGAGTTGACAATGGAAAAGCTCCCAACGAATAAATTATTTATACTATGGTTTTTGCACGTTCACGTATAAAACATATGAACTTATGGTAACAAAACTAGTCTTCCTAGTCTAATCCAATCTCACGGTATAAGAACTCAAGAGGAAGCAAGCGAAGCATGGATTCCTCGAGCAAAACGTTTCTTAATCGTCTTTGGCTCGACTGTCTGAAACCACAGAAAACCAGACTGTCTGCCGCGAGTCAACCGTATAAGTCTCTTCCAGCCTGACCTATGCGTTAATCCGGCGCAAAAGCAACTGGTTTCTGCATAAATTCGTTGCGAAAGTCCTCCGGACAGACAACGTGAGCCAAGGATTGCAAGAAACGCTCCCTGTGTGTCGTTAATACTTTCCACTTGACGTCACCCGTGTCATGATTCTATCTGTTCGTAGCGCGCGAAAAGGCGTGTGTATAGCCGTTTCATTGCAACAGCTATGGCGCATGATTTAAAGAAGTCACTGAACATGGGAACGCGTTACGATCTTTATCAAAAAATATGATCAGCCGTTTGTGTACATATGATCGAGATAACATTTCCTTGAATTTGCATTGACTCACGTTAAGGGAAAGCTAGAATGTACGTGCAGAGAATAATTCAATGCATCATAAACTACTGATCTTTATAAAAGTGCAATCATGTCTCGTCGTCAGAATAAAGAAAAATATAATTTCTTGTTCGTTTAAATTATTTGCAAATGCTACATTTTCATATTTTATTTGAGTAATCAGTTTCGTCATGAATATATAATTAAGTGGTCCAGTATTCATACAATTGGAGACAGCAGGAATATTTCAAGAAGCCTGCCAGACAGACTGTAAATCATTAACAGCAACAAGTTTAAACCCCGTTTAACTCTATGACCATTTACTTAGAATTCTAGAATTCTTCAATTTTAAATTGCACAGACATAATTATCCTAGAATTACGACAAGTAGGACGCTGAAGTTCCTCGAATACTACAGAACTAAGAAGATTAAGGGAGTGAAGGTCTAGAACGTGATGAAGAGAGAAGGAGAGAGAGAGAGAAAACAGAAGTCTTTAGTAAAACCAGCGAAGATCAAGAGAATGTATATTTACTAATTTCTCATTTATTATTATATACTGGACAACAATTAATGTAATGTAAATCGAACCAATTTTAATCAAAAGCTGATCGTCTTCTAAAAATCACTATTCTTTGGGTTTTGATTCCAACCAAGAAGTTCGTAACATCAATATAAGAAATAATATGTATAGTCATCGAATGTTATACGTGTGTCTTGATCTTGTATAAATTCCTCTACAGGTGCATGCGCGATCTGATAATTCTTATTCGCGAGTTAAAATCGTGAGTAACGTTTACTTACGGTTGACGTCGAGGATGACCAGCCTAATTTGCGGCGGCACCAAGTTAGTGTTGCTGGCCTCGCAGATCAGCCGGGCCTGGAGGTGCTGCCTTCCAACTTTGGGGTAGGACAAGCGGTTAACCGTCAGCCCGGACTTGGGGTTGTAGTCATCGGAGTCGTCTATCACAGTGTTCTCGAGGTACCACGTCAGCTTCGGGGGAGGCCTGCCACCTCGTACCTCGCAAATCAGGTTCACGTCACTCCCCTCGTTGTACGGCCGCTCTATTCTCGAGATGTCCCTCGTTGTCCCGTCCAGTATCACCGGGTCCGACGGAGGCACTGCGCGGAACACAGGTGCACACGCACGGATGTACATACACGCAGATAAACAGGAGGACAGAGGGAGAGAGGATGATTGAATCAGCGGAAATGCGGATTGATTATTTGTCCGCCGCTTGAGAATGGCTGATCTATCGCGCGGTGACTGCGTGCCGGCGTGATTTACTCGTGAAAGATTGATTAGGGCCAATTGAGTTCCGCTGATGCGAGTGATTTACCATTCGCTGAATACTCTTTTGTCAACGATTACGCGTGGATCGGGAAGGGGTGCCCGGGCCGACGCGTCGCCAATGGAACGAGCGGCTAAAAACTGACGCGACGTGTTCCCGTTGAATTTGAGCGAGCGTGAAACAATGAATTTTGTGCAAAGCAGGCGTGCGCTGAGCGATTTAACAGGAACAGTACAGTTAATTGTTCTCTCCGTTGCCGGAGACGCGGAAAAGTGTTTCGTTCCGAACGAACTGTCGTTAATTCCTTTACAACGTGATCAAATACATTTATACAAATCTGGCTGTAATCCATACAAAATCATTGCTATTGTACAAATTATACAATATGAGTATTAATCATAATCGTAATGGACGTGAATAATTCTTCGAAGGATATAAATAATAGTGCGATGCTCACCGATGACAGTCAGATTCGTCCTTTGCTTTCTCGTCGGCGAATTCTTGAAGTCCACTCGACACCGATAGATCCCTTCGTCTTTAGTCTCGAGTCGATCGATGTTCAGATGAGCGGGATTAGACGCGGTGCTAAAAAAAGCTCTTGGTCCCAGTGCCGTTGGCGACGACCACAGCCGAGCGTCGCTGAACTGTCGACGTCGGACGTCGAAGCTGAAACCATCGGTTGTACCTTTTTGTACCGAACTCGAGTAACCGCGAAACCCTATTGTGTTTTTCGTTTCATCACTCTCTAAACTTTTAGAACAGAGACACCTTACTAATTTTTGGACTGTATAAAATATTAGGGAAATCAATAAATTTTTGATTCGTTACTTTCTGATTCTTTTTTTAATTTATATAAAAATACTCCAATAACTTCGTTTGACATAATACTAATTCAATTTTTTCTTTATAAACGGAATGATACGTTGATCAATTAATTTATAATATAAATTCGCTGGAAACTCCAGTAACAGCACGACAACGAAATGTACAGTTTCCTCGTGAGAACGTTTCCACTGGCTCTACGAGTTAATACTAAAATCTCGTGGAGGCGAGAGGAGCATTTTCAGGGAACCCGGCACTTGTAATCCCGAAGATCCAACAGTCGACAGCAGCCTTCGAGACGTCTCGCGTCGTAGATTTTACTCGGTGTAACGCGCGAACTTGAGAACATGCTAGCGCGAGCTTATAGCTCCTCAAATCCTTGAAGATTATGCTCTCAATTTTCCTAGGAATCTCGGTGCCATTGGTAACATTGTTATCAGCTGGATAATTGCCTCCAATGTAGTAGATACATTTCTTCTCAGAGGTTTAATACGGTGTGTTAAACGTGCAGTTGAATAAATTAATTTTTAAGTCAGATTCATCGGTCATAAATCCCTGAGATAAAAGAGATTGAAATCTTGAATACTTTCCCAGATCCATTTATGTGTGAATTCAGATAGAACGTGTAATATAATCCTGACAGTGAGACCAGAGTCGCGTCAATTAAAATTTTGCAAGAGACCGTGGAAGATCGTCGCTGAAGAAGCGTGGCGGAATTATAAGCCTGGCACATATCGAGTCATCTGGGAATTATTCTCTGGGAACTGATTGCATATTAAGTACCCACCAATACCGTGAAGTACGCAAGCGGAGTAAGACAAATTCTCTGTTCCCGACCATCACTCGTATCTGGCCTTTTTACCTGATATCGCAGCCTACGAGGAATGGCAGGGGGAGATGAAAGAAAGAGGGAGACCGTAGGAGCATGGAAACCGACGTTCCTCAGCAGCGACTAAAAGTTAAATTGCGTTCCACGGCTGCATGGGAGTTCGGATTTCCGCTCGTGACTGAGTATTCCCAAAGCTATCCCACTCTCCCGCTCCCGCTGCTTCCGCGGCATTGACGTTGAAATACGATTTAATTCTTCCACTTCGCACTTCCAACAGACGAGGAAAGCGCTTCCGTGACGTGCCGTTGCCGCCCGGACGTCCGTATGGTTGCTTGCCTCCGAGCTGCCGGCCCTTAGGACTCCCCTCATGGACGCAACACGCGCGCGTACACATAAACGAGTTCTCGTGTATTCGGACCTATCCTCATCTCTTTCGAGAAAATCACCCGGGTTTCCGTCGGGACTGGAACGATCCGTGGATATAACGCGTTCGTTCGTTTGACTGGCTTTCGACCAGCGATAACCCCTGCAAAGCGATTCCCGGCTATCAGTCTTCCAGCAGTGCTCGGCTCGGAATCTTCGGGATCGATCGGGCAGCCTCTCGCGTGCCTCATAGATCACTCGGCTGATTCGCGGAAATTTTCCAAAAAAGAATCGGCAAACGAACGGCTCCTGAAACGGCGGGCATGGAAATCAAAGCGGCAGTGGCTCGGTTTCCTTTCCGATTTTTATTGGAAATCACGAATAGCGGAATCGAGTACCGAGGAATCCTCGCATCGTGAATGACGGCACGATATCGTAAGAACTGGTCCCTGGTGGTCTACGCCTAGCGCATTTCCTCGCTTCAACGTGCACGCTACTTTACCCAAGCTTCAATTTTATATGTGTGAACGAATCGCGGCATGTCTGTATATTTCAAGACGGTTCTTTTTCTTCGAATTTAAGCTCCTGGTGAATTTGACAAAATAATTACGATTTCATTTATCGCAGGATATCAAATCGCAGCCTTGGCTGTTTGATTTGTAATTGGACGTTAATCCGTTCCTTCATTCCTCTGTTTGATAGTAAAGATACAGGACGACTGTTCGCATAATGCACGAGATCTAAACGTTTCGAATGGTAACGGGGAATGGAATTGGACCGATTCAATTCTATGAAACGACATCCCTTAAGAGCGATCCTGGACCGACGCTCGACGATCTCACAAATATTACCGAAAATTTCATTAAAAAACCGGAGATAGCGCGAGGGCCGAGGGAAATGGGAAGGGGAACGTTGAAACGAGGTCAATGCAAGAAAACGAACGGGAAGAGGAGTCGATAATCGAGAGAATCAAATGAACGAAGTCCTGACAGGATGGAACGCCGAATAAATCGGTGTAACGAGATTAAAAATCGGATTAAGCGGAAGCTGCTCGATGGGAGAGTAAAAATGTCCAGACGGAAGGGGAAGGGTAGCTTTAAAAATGTTAACAACTCAGTCGACCCGACTGGTAAGAGAGCGTCCAAATATAATATCACAATAATTTGTACCAGTTTCATGACGTACAGAGTGAGACAAATTTGCATATAAAACAAGCCGGCGCTTATCTCTCGACGTGGGTTTACCCGAGGGCAGACCGACGCGGCGCGCCGTTTCGTTCCGTTGCATTAGTCAAAAAATTACACCTGTTTATCAGTCTTGACGGTACTTAAATTAGTGAATACTGGATGTGCTCGTGCTTCCATTGTTCGAATTCGTGCTACCACTACGATACATTTGCGAAAATGTGTCGCACGTTATAAATAAGCCAGAAATTAGCGCGCGTGAAATAAAATTATTACACCGTTGCTGGTAGAAGCTTCTACGATATTTTATCTAATTGCCTCGTATTCCAGCGATTTGTAAAGTCGTACTATAAAACTGTATTCAAAGGCCGACAAATTGAGGGAAGTAAGAAAAAGCCTGGTAAGAAACGATATTCACCATCCCGTATCTTCAGCAGTCTGGCCCGCGTACGATAAGTGACTCGGTGTGCCTGGCGTAATAAATATTTTAGCGTTAGAGCCAGAAAAGTGTGCGGCGGGTTAGGCGGAAGAAAGGTTCGCCGAGACGGGAGGGTGCGCATTGCACGCGATGTATCTGTCCGTCTCTAAATTTAAAATTTCTCCTCCAGCAGCGGCGAGGATTAAACTGACTTTACAACAGACGACGACCTATTCCTCCGACCATCCGATTCGCCCCCCCCCCCCTTGAGGAAGGAAGGGGAGAAAATAGAGCGAGAGGTCTCGAGACGATGCATTGTCTTCTCCCGCACATATCATACAGCTTATTACATTTCTTAAATATGACCCGCCGAGAAACGTCGAGGATCATCCGCCTCTCCCTGAAACCCACCGCCCCTCACCCACCTCCCGGGGCGTCGCGCTTCTTTGCGAAAGTGGCGACCTTCGAGGGGGTTACTCGGGCCGAGCACCATTCTATATGCAAAATTTCACGGGTCGCGGAAGCGAAATAGCGAGTCAGCGAGCAAATGAAGTTCACCGCGGAAAATAACGCGAGGAATTTCTGGACCGGCTCATCCTATCCCGCCCCCACCCTTTGGTGCCGCGCCACCCTTTTTATTTCTTCGAGGCAATTTATATTCTTGGATTATCGGGTTTCGGGGGAATTTTAGGCGCCGCCGCCTAGTTCACCGCAGTGTCCATGTAATCCCTAGCTGTTTTTTAAGTTTTTAATGAATTCGGGTCTTCTACAACGATTCCGCATTACAGTAGATTTTACCAGCGTACGATAGAAATTTCTTTTGTTTCCCTACTTAACTGGAGTTTCGTTTGCATTTGAGAAGAATTGATTAAAATTTGGTATTAGAATTAGAATAGCCAATGCTGTTGAGTTTAAAGTTTAGTATTTGAAATTGTAGAAGTATTATGTCTTTTTATATGCCTATTTAGAAATACATAAGTAATTGACAGAGATTTACCTGTAGATTGGCTCTCCCGTTCCTTCCTTGTACCAAAGCACCATGCTGACGTTGTCGTTGTTGTCGGAAGTGATGTTACATGGAAGCTTTACTTTATTCCCAATAACTCCGCTGACAGTTTCCATTGGGACTGCAACAGAAACATGACAAATTTAATTAAAAAATGATGGAACCAGTTTGTTCATAATTACTTAACTAGAAGTAACAGAAACAGTTTAATGCGCCATGACGGCGGTCCATAACCGGAAAGCCAAAACTGAATTAAGGATGTATTGTCTATACAGTCAATTCCAAAAGTTTATGTACTTTAGAAAAACGCATTTCCTATAATTAAAAAGNTATAGCCTATACATCCTTAAGTAATTAAAACTATGCGCAAATACGTGTGTACACGTGGTTGCGCAAGCTTAATTAACCGCATTGGTCGGGAAATGCGAGAGGGTCGGTCCTACGAGGTAGTAAGAGTCGCGTCACAGGCATTCGATTCATCGAGACATCTTTTGGGATTAGGTCTCATTACACGAGAATTTAACGGTACGCGCTGACGCTTTAGGTCGTGGCTTTCCGAAGCGAGCTTAAGACAGTCGCCAAACCGAGCCATTCCCCAGTGCGGTGCTCGGCTGTCAGTGTAGACTGCGGTTAACGGGGGTTTGATGTCCTCGCGGCCTCGTCTACCCGATTAGATTTACATGTAGATGGAGTTATCACGTTTTAACGAGCTACCTCGACGACGTAGTACCTCTACACGCATCACCCCCGACCGTCTCTTATCTCCGCCCACGACGCCCCATCGCATCGGTCTGACATGTTTGCCGCCGTTGTCAGCCGAAAATCAACGAGGAACCGCGTCGAGGACCGATCGTTCCCAAGAATCTCATCGATCACTACCACGCTCGTTCCGCGGAGCCAATGGCAACAGCCCCGCTGATCTCCATCTCGTCGCGAGACTCCGTGCCGATACCTCTTCTCGGCAAGTTTGGAACCGCGCGGCTGCGAGAAGTCGGAAAATCGTGAGTGGAGGACAGATAGGTAGATGAGTGTCTAGAGATGAACCGTTGGAAAGTTAGTCCGCTAGTTCCCGGTGTTCCAACTGAATATCATTGGTCGGGTAAGTTTCCGCGTTAAATTATCTAAGGTACGCGAATGCTATAGTATACTTTATCAAATGTAGACAGTGGCTCAGTCGAATAAATTTCATTCCTAATCTATTAAATATTCCATAAAAAGTACAAATCTGATTAAAGTTTCTCTCTCGTTCACTTAGCTCTTTCATTTATCTCCGATTCCTATCAAATAATTAACAAAACAATTGCAATCCAAATCGTAACAAATTGACTTTTAACCGATACATCCTGACGAAAATAATTAAAATTGATCCACTTCAATCCGAGGAAGTTCTAATGGTTAATATGCAATTACTTGAGGGCGATGATAGAGGGAATTCCAAATATTGAAATCCTGTCATTCACATGATGTGGATTCACGTAATGCTCGCCGATACTCGTCCCGAGACCAATAAACTACGTAACAGGATGATGGTCGATCCGGGATTAGTTCCTGCATTAATAAACCTTCACGTAGTATACTATAGTATGCGTTGTGTGTAGTATAATAATATGCGTTGACTAAGAAGCCATTCGTTGTTACTATTTTCTATTTACTACGGTTTCTCAATATGAAGTAGCGACTCCTTTCTTTAGTCTGGGATTTCGGGAAAATATATGGTCGTGTTTGAAAGACTGACATTTCCTTGATAAATGAAATTGTTCTGCGCTGGATGTGGTGCTCGTTGCTGCGGAAGTTTCCAAGACTGTTTGCAGGAAACGCTGCTTTCGCAGTATAAATTAAATGAACTCTGCGATAAGTACATGTAAATCTGATCACTAAACGAAATTACCTGTGCATTAAATATTCTCAATGAAAATCTTAATATATAACATAATATGGACCGTTTATTTTGAAAGTGGTCTAAGTCCATTTTTGAGAAAAATGAGATATCACGTAATTCATGCTAAATTAAGCAAAAAGAAAAATGAGAAATTGCTAAATAAAGCATGAATTACGTGATATCTAATTTTTCTCAAAAATGGACTTACACCACTTTCAAAATAAACGATCTATATACTGAGAGATAAAATTATATTCATCAAGGCTTGTCGTCTTGTACTAAATACGTTCTATTGCAAAGAATACTTAATTTTAGTAACGTCTCGTTTACTGAATACTCCGATGGGCAAAAGGAGAACGACGTATAACGAGATAATAAGAGTATCTATTAATGGTTTTGGTAGAAGAATAATTCCAACTTGACGCTGTAGCAGCCTGTCTATCTTGGTCGGTTCATAGCGTGCTCGTTCTTACTGTTGAAGAATTCTCAAACGGGAACCAACGGTCGTTCCCGGTACGGATCGATGGCGCGAGACTTGCGGTTCATAAATAACCTTTCCACACGGAAAACGAATCCATCAACGGCACGGCTCCTTAACTAGCCAATTCGAGGTAACATCAAACGCTAACACCGCGCTTTTTCCATGCGCTCCACGGTACGCGAGGCTCTCAGTTCGTTGAGCTTGCCAGTCGTCCGTAAATAAGTAATCTTGCCCGTTTCCCCGAATGCGCGGATGGGTCTTGAATCTCTAGGATGATCGCCTTCGGGGGCGAGCGTGCCCGGGATAACCGACCGCGTTTATTTTCCTTTTTATTGAACGCGTAAATTTAACCCGGTCCTATTTTTCCTCGCTGGTTTCGTTCCTTTCCGCTGGCCGCCATCGGCAAATGAAATACAACCGCTACCGCACCGATTCGTTGGCCGCGTCCTGTTTTTCTTAACCCCGGTTCCGCGTATCGGGAGAACACCTTGTCCGTTTTTAACGAGAAATCTGTTTGTAATTTATTGATACGCGAACCCGATTTTTCATACCGACAGCGAAACAGGAATACTCGCACGTTAACTTGTCTCGCTGCAATGCATTGCTTTACAATTTATAGCATTCAGGCGAAGGTACATACATACAAGTAATCCCCTATCTTACATAATTAAGTGAATGAACGAGTCTCGTGCGAAAATACAAACACGGCAATGAATTCTTTCCGTAATCACGGAAGTAATAGTTCGATGCTCATTAGTTCGGTACGTGTAACGTGAGGTTCGTAAATTCGCTGGTTCGATCGCGGTGGATCGAGGGGTAAGAATAGTCTCGCGTTCGGTTTATAAAGGTAATTAAGGGCCGCGGCCGCGGGAATCGGGAAATAAAAACGTCAAACGATTCTTAAGTCCCGTTCAACCCTCGGAGTTGCGTGTAATCTAGATTTACGTGGCGATAGATCTTGTTTTCCCGTGTTAATTATTTCCTCGAGTGGTTAGTTGTTCGGCATACACAGGACCATTTTACGATAATGGCGGAACGAAGTAGAGCTATTAAGATAAACTGGCCAGGCCTCGTTCCAGCATCGTTCGTTATCTTTGCCGGCGCTATTAATGTGACTGTAAAGGGCCGGCATTAACAGGAAGGGGTGAAAATGTCGCCGTTCATTGCCGTAAAGTAGCAAGAAGCAATAAGGCTAATTCGTTTCGGGCTTCGCACGGATTCTACCCTGCGCAGGATTAACATTATTAGCTTGTAATATGTTTGCGTTACGTGAAACAGAATATCCTTACTGTTAGACATTTTATAACGCATTGCCAAAACAGTTAAAAGAAGACATTACACAAAAATCGTAATTGTAATTGTAATGATAAATGGTAATTCAGAAATTATAAAAAATTCATTCAATGTCCAAGGACACAAAATATCAAAAGTGAAATACGAACTATAATTTTTAAAATACAAAAGGAATTGCTATTTTAATTTCATTTTCTATATTGACTTTAAAAATGATTTATTTTGGACAAAGATCCGCAGTCTGGTTCTGCTAGTTTTAAATCTACCAGAAAATAGTTGCTAAAATTGTTCATAATATCGTTTGAACGTTTCGTGTGCTAAAGGTAAAAGGTATGTTAATTATAGCCAATGACTGAACTGGATCAGCCAATTGTTTATTGAATATGGTTAAATTATTCATGCTAATAAGCCGCAGTTTATCGCGCACAGCTTCGTACAAAATAGAATAATCGATTCGTCGAAAGTATCTGTGAGTGACGCGTATGGAGAACAACGTGACACTTGTCGATCAAATCATTGTAATAATTGAGGATGATCGTGACATGCAGATAAAGCCTTAAATAAAGTGAATTTCGAATGCATATTGTTTCAATACTCATTATAATTTAATACTAACAAATTACTGTTAAAAGTATTTATATATGGACTATGGAATTATTAATACTTTTAGTTTTAGGTCATGTCTAAACGACAATAAATGTCGAAACGATATGATGGATTTAGCCATGTTTAAAATTACGACTTACTTAGGAAACGACATAAAGTATTCCTAATCATTGTATCAGTTTCACTCAAAATTTAATTAGACTCAGTATTTTAGCGTTTATTTAAAACACCTGGATAGGTAATTGAATTAAGCAAAGAGGAAAAATAGTAATGAAAGGATAGAAAGTCGAATGGAGTCGTACAGACCATAAATCTCCAGTTCACGCACAAACAACGTCATGGTTACCGCCATTCTTCGCACTCCTAAAACGAATTTATTGAACAATCGCACTCGTCACCGAGCTTCCAAGCGCCTAACCATTAAATCCTTTAGACTGAATACAGCTATATAGGTGAATCGCGGTTACCAGGGAACTTATCGTTCTTTCCCGTTTCTTAAATTCCATTGTGTATAATAGAAACGAAGGGGACTATTAAAATGACGACGGTCGAAGAAAAATCGTTGCGACCGCGAGGAGGATGACTCCTCCTCGTTAAATCCAGATGTATTGTGGTCCGTAACGTAGGAGCAGACTAATGGTTTCTACCGGTGGGTACTCGAGAGGGCTTTTTATGGTGAACTGTGGATAGAATGCCACGGCGTGCGCGGTGGGCGCACAGTTCGGGTTCCGCTCAGCCAGTAAAACTTGTAATTACTGTAAATCGCGATGTAATTGCCGCAGTAATTACCGTGGAGCGAAGTAGGTAGCCGGCTCGCGTAAATAAAGCTGTGCTTGCGCGAGCTTACCTGCGCCCGTCGTAA